GTCATCAGAATTTTTAATTAACAAAAACTATTGGTGATGTCAATGTAAACCACTTAACTATTTACCTTCTTTCATTTTTTATTTATAATGATTAAAATAGAAATGTTTAGATCGGTAATCAAAATATAATTTTTTTATAAAATTATGGTGAATATCCTGTCGAGATGTAAAAATATTTGTTGTAAGTTTTCATACTATTCTAAAATTATTCAGAGGACGGTTATTACCGACCAGCAGAAAGAAGCATTGAAGCTTGTATTTGAACATGACCAGCATCCAAACCAGCGAACAATTGAACAACTTTCGCAAACCTTGTCGTTAGGTACCAGGACAGTTAGCAATTGGTTCCATAACTATCGAACTCGACAAAAGGTTTGACTCTAGTTTTATTCAATATACTTTAGCATTATTCTCATCAATATATACATATCAATCTTATTGTTGTACTTATTTATTACTATTAATAATTACAATCATTTTTTTTATAAAATAGAAATGTTTAGATCGGTAATCAAAATATAATTTTTTATAAAATTATGGTGAATATTCTGTCGAGATATAAAAATATTTGTTGTAAGTTTTCATACTATTTTAAAATTATACAGAGGACGGTTATTATCGACCAGCAGAAAGAAGCGTGTAGTTATATGTTTTATAGGCAAGTTTGAGAGCTAAATATTTTTCGAATGGAGATTCGAATCAAAAGAGAAATATAACTAAAGGAAAAAATAACAATGATCGCTGGAAACAGGTTTATTGCGGTTTTTTTAATTTCTACAATGTCGTTACTGGATATAAAAATAGACTATATTTTGTATATTAGTAAAATTCTGAGTTGATTTTATGTTCAATTAAGTTTTTTATGAAGTGAAAGTTTTTAATGAGTTTCTTTTCCCAGTTTTCGAGTTATAAATGTTTTTTCATTCCATCACATAATGGTTTCAAATTTTTTTGAAAGATACTGCTTATAAAATATAGATTTTTCTCTGTTTTATGCTTTTTTTTAGAAGGTTGTACAATATATCATCTTTATAATCTTTTTTCTTCATTTCGCGATTCAAAAATTTGTCATTTAATTGCTGTCATCATGGCTCTGCGATTATAGGAACTTGTGGAATTAATGAAATTGGAATCAAAGCCAAATCACTGGCCACCAACAATGGTGCCAACTAGCAACAACAATTTTACTAGAAATACTATTACTAAAAATAATTCGCTTGATAAAGCTATCGAACGGATTCAAAAGCTCAATGCAGCCAAGCAGTCGTAATTTGTTTGATTCTCATTATAAAGTTTTTTTTCGAAAAACTTAAATAGTTTTAAAAAAAACATTGAGAAAGGGTGATTTTCCGTCCATTTTTACTTTTACTTGTATTTTACCGACTCCTTCATCTTTGCTTTGTTTAAGCCTAAAGTGATAAAATATAAAATTTAGGGGCATTCAATATGTTTTTTTGTAGAAGTAATGGACTGTTTGAAAAGTTTCAGTTATGGAAATTAACCACTTGTCATCAGTGGTTATATCTTCGGTCCATGTTTTTGTGTACTAGATAAATTATTAGAAGATTTAAAATCAGAATTACGTGAATATAAAGTTAGAGATTTAAGCTGGTAAGTAAAATTGTTTGCTTTTATGGTCATTTTATTCTTATAGTCATTTTTCGTCTTATCTTTCTTCATTTGAGTTTTTCAGGATTTTCAGTTGAAAAAGATCTCTACTTCATTACTTGTACTTTGTTTTTCACATTTTGGCAAGCCTCTTCATATTTGGTTGTTTTCATTTGGAATCTCTCATTTTCTGGTTTTTGTTCCAAAATTTGATCTCACCATTATTCATACTTGTTTTTAATAACATGCTCCTGAAGCTTGTTTCTATTTGTTGAATTATCTTTGAGCTTTATTATTTTTCAGTTTTATGCACTGAAGTAAATATTCAAAAGAATTTGTAGCATTTTCTCATGTGCGTGTAGATAGAACTTCGTCATTTTGTGCTTCCCACTCAATTTGACTACTTTAGTGTGTTTAATGAAAAATTCTCTCCTTTTGATTTTCTATTCCAAATAACTTCCATAAAATGATAATATGTCTTTTCGTTCATTTCACTGGCTTATCAAAAATTTTGTAAATTTAACTTATATATAAGTTGTTTCGTAACCTAATTTTTATGGAGATTTTGGTATTTGATTTCAGTTATGCCATGTGCTGATATTGCTATCTGGTTTTGTGTCGTCTTCTATGCTTTTTATGACAGTTTGTAGTTCAAGTTCTTTTTAAGCAGTGGTATTATTATTAATTTGAATATGTTTCGGTAAAGTTCGATTAAAAATGGATCCGATTTCATATGTTTCATGTTTCCTCATTCTGTATCTGAGGTTATTCTATCTTGACATTGCTTTTTGTTTTTTTCATGAAAGGTTTTCTTTGTTTGAAGTTTGAAAATATTCTTAAAATTTCATTTTTTGTGTCACAGTATCAGTTATTGACATAATTTATAGAGCACTTGACAGCAGTGGATGGTACGCGTCGTCAACTTGAAAAAGTGGTTGAAGAACAGCGTCTTCTTATTGCTCGTTTGGAAGATGACTTATTGAATTTACAAGCTATTATACCACAATCTGTAGGAGATGTAATGTATTATCGCTTAATTTTACTAAAGTTCAATTTTTTGTAAAAGGAGTACTCTGATTTGTGATTAAGTTAAACTAATTTTTATTCGGAACATTATTTTTAAAAATCCTTGCACGTTTGTAGATGGAATTTAGGGAGCAAATACCGAAAGAGATTCTGGTGAATATGAATTTTCTGCAGCGAAAATGTTGGCTAAAGAATTATCGTTATCTGACGGGCAGCGGAAAAATATAGAGAATTGTGATAGTAATATATTGTCAATTTTATCATCTCAGCGCGAACGATTACGTCATCGGGTTGACGAATTAGAAAGAGACTTGGTCGTTCAGAAACAAACAAATAAGTATCTGGAAAGTGAACGTGAAAAAATACGTGAAGACAATGTCAAATTATTCGAAAAAATCAAGTTTTTACAGATTTATGGAAGCAAAGTTGGACAAGTGATTATTTCTGGTGCTTTTAGGCAAAAATATGCTAGCCATCTTGCATGCTATAAATTATATCAAACATGTGGTTGATTTAATACTATGATGCAAAAGCATACTATAAATTAGGTTTTTATAGTTTTCTTAAGGCAGTTGTGAAAATAGAAAGTGATGAAACAGAAGCACGTTACGAAAATGACTATGAAAAACATTTGGACCCATTTAAAAAATTTAACATGCAAGAGAAACGACGTAAATATGGACAGTTGCGAGTCTACGATAAAGCAGCATTTACACTGGTTCGTTGAATTTTTTGTGCGTTTGATTTGAGTATATAGTTGTGGAATGTTGATTCAGTTCTAAGCTATTAAGTAGTAAGTGATGTCAGTTAAGGCTCGAAAAATCATCCAGGTATAAAATGGTAGATACTCTTTCGAGAAATTTTGACAAAACTAGCTTCGCGGACAATCATTATTCATTTTTCATTGGAAATCCTAAATTCAATGTAAATATTCATGTTTTGTAGATTTTAGGGACAGTGGCTGATGAATAGTGGACATTCTAGAATATTTTTCTTCATTTATCTCATGTTTCTTCATATTATGGTTATTGTGGTACGTTGTATAGTATTTTAATTTTTGTTGTACTACGAAACTTATTCTTCTGCAGCTTGATAGATTTATTCATGTAACTTCAGGTCCTCTATCGATTTGCGCTGGCAGGATCTTGTCTGCGAGATTTTCAAACAGACTGCATTGGAAAGTCAGTTATAGTTATTTACAGCTACATTTAGGCGAAACAAGCATTTCTTTCAAGAAAATATATTAATGGGGAAAGTAAGAGAGAGAAAATCATATTTTTAGAATTATTAGAACTATTTTGCCATTGTTTGTGTCAGCAACAACCAGAGGTTGATGATTTTTGAGTTTTTTTGTTGTTAAAATGTTCACAAAAATGTGTTTCTAAACGTTGCTTTTATCTTCAAAACTTTTCCAAATCATAGTGTTTGCAACTACGAAACTCCGGTTCTCCAGTTCCCCAAACATGATACATTACTTCTTTTGTAAAGTGGTTTTTAAACTGAATAATATTTCGTTTGACGCTATGTTCTGAAGCTCAATATAATTGCTAAGTATTTTAAGCTCTTTTCTTGTAAAGCCAAATATCTAGTGTCTTGTGTTGAAATATTTATTGTACAGTTCTGTTTCAGATTTCAACAACATATGCACAAATACCATCACAATAAGGATGATATGTTTGGCTGATTATTGATCATCTATTCTGCTGAACTTCTAAGACATACTTTTTCCTGTGAAACGAACTTTATCAATAATTTTAGAGATGATAGTTCTCCTTTTGCGCATACTGCTTAGTTGTTTGTCTCGAATAATGTGGCAGTAGAAGTTGTAAACATATTTCAAATATTGAGTTTAAGTCAAGAATAACAGAAAATGAAAATTTAATCAGCTTGGAAAGTCTGGTTTTTTTTTGTCACCATGATACAAATGTATGGAAAGTGAATAAATAAAATTTACAGTATAAAATTTTGAACTCTTCTTCTATATTAGTATGCATTTCACAACAAAAGCGGAAAAAAATTTTTGTTTTACTACAAAACCTTCTCTTTAAGCAAAGTAACATAGAGTGTTCACAGTTGTTTATCCAGAAAACAACTTGTGTCCCATGCGTGTGTTCGATTGAATACATCTTGGTGAATGAGTCGGACAGACAGTATAATGTGAAGGGAAGCTTTGATGAAGTATAGATGTATTGCTGTCAACTGCGAAAATGACGTTTGTCAGGAGATGTTGCACGTACTTTCTATAAATGACTATTTCTTTTAATAATGAGACAGTTATACTCTGTACTTGAGACTTATGTGGTTTGCAGATTACGCTCTTTAGGCATTTTAATTTTCTGAAATAAATATTGCGTAAACGCAAAAAGAAGGAATTTTTTTAGACATGACAATTGTGTATAATAAAGAGTTCAAAAAAAGAAATACACCGTACAAATGCAAAACACAAATTTGGTAGAAATTTCACGTCAAAGCGGTATCAAGTAACTCTAATTCACGAGTAAAAGGCACTGACCTTACATGAGAAAAAAGTTGTGAGACACTTAAACTGCGCAAAGAAATGGAGAATGTCTGAAGAGACAAACAACTGCAGGAGAGAATAATTGTGATACAAACTCGTGTGTATACTTGTCTTACATTTTGGTGATGAATTTAGTTGGTGCTAGCTTTTACTTACTTGACTGCTTACCAAAGACAAGTGAGTAACACAGCACTGAGTGAATGCCTGCCTCTTCAATTGAAGCGACTAATTTGGTTTTTCATGCAGTGGTGCTAGAAGTATCGTTGCTCTTTCGTAAAGATGTAAGAATTGAGAATGAGGTACTGCTTGGTGTGGTTACATGCAAGTCAATCTATTCTTATGATTATTTTATGTGAATTTTCGCCTGAACTGCTCGCTCCACTTACTACTATTCGCAAGTAAACAAAGACCATTCTCAAGTATTTAGTTTCATTGAATATTTGTGTTTGTTAAAATTTTGGCGCGGAAAGTGTATTTCACGTATCGACCAACAATGAAGTAAACTAAACTAATCAGTTTTCCTAATATGATTTTATCAAGTGAAGATATGAGCATAAACTACTATCACAATGAAGAAAAATTAACGCAAATTAAGGAGAAAATGCTACTGCAAAAATACAAAGCGCAAAGAGATAGTCAGCAAAAAGTAATAATACTAAAACATCATTTATTAGCAAATCATTATTTTATGATTCTTTTCTATATTATTGTATTAACGATGGAAAAAATGATGGAAATGATCAGAAGTACAAATCAAACGATTCTTATACACTTCATTCCATACATTTTCATTGCTTTTTATCACTGTTAGCTTTTTACTTAGGTCTTGGAAATAGAAATATGATTGCCTTTGTTATTCATTATTATGTACTGACACTATAAACTGGACAATTATCGTTATCATCATTGCTTACTGCTTTGCTAATAGCAACCAGTAAGTTCTTAGCTTGTAAATGATAAATGATAAAAGAGATTATGTGACACGCATTTTGTTTCAAAAAAAGCGCATAACTCGAAAGGGTGTCTCAGTCGCAGCTGATTTGATTGCATATTCAAGTAAACAATCAATTTACTAAGTAAATGTGATAAATTTTGCAGTGATTTCTTTTAATAATTAACCTAATTATTCAAACTTTCACTCATTTTATGCAATTATTAATGCATTTATTTAGTGACATAATTTTTCCAGAATGCATTAATTTACCCACCTTTGAAAAGAAAGTTTGTGAAGAAGAGAAAGTAACAATGTAAGAGACCCAAAATGAGAGGAATGTAAAACAAAAGGCAATGAATGTTGGACTGATGGAATTGGGCATTTGCAGAAAACTAACCATTTGAGAAATTCACTCACATAATGAACAACAGAAAAATAATCAAACAAACATAAAGACATAAATACAAGACATGGAAGATGCAAGTAAACCTGGCAAAATGCATAAATCGAGAATGACAAGTGCACGAAAAGACAGGAATTTGGTAATTTGAATAATTGAGGTGATGTGATGTGCAACAGGCGATAAGAAAAGCAATTGTGGCAAAGAAACTTTCGAACAGCAACACACACCGAACTTACTATTAATATACGGAGCGCAAGTGTCGAGAGGACTCTTACAAAGGTTGTAAGACAACAACATTCTTCATTTCTGGCGCATAACTTGGCGGTGTGAATGGGTCAGATTGAAGTGCTACAGGGTTTTCCTCGATGTAACTCGGAAGGAATGTACCAATATCACCCGCTGCGACAGCCCCAGCGATCAAGTAAGGACGAGGAAACTGTTGAGGTGGCAAGTGTGAAGTGTACTGCTGGGAATGCGCTGCTATTACTTGAGTGTCACTATTGGTGCCATTGATGGTGATAGGCAAGGTGCAAGAGTTCCCCAAACACTGCGCGGTGCTACTAACAGAGACTCTTTCGGTGTTTCGAGTAGCGGTGCTACACGGAACAATGGTCGTTGTTCCAGGATGCTGCTGCTGATGGTGATGATGAGCAAGAAGTAGCTGCTGAGGTGTGATACCTTGAAGAGGAGGCACTAGTCGCATCTGCTGATTGAGATAAAGCCCCGAAGCTCCTGGTGGGATGGTACATCCCGGTCCATTCAAGATTGCCTGCGCGGGTAAGTTTAAAATATGCTGTTGCGTGGATGTCAACTGTTCTATACTTGAATGCGCACGACGTTTCAGAATTTGGTAATCAACCATTCCTGATTGATCATATACCCTTTTTTGACCCTGAAATTCGCACTTTATCACTTAAATGCCACTTTCGGTCATTCATTATTAAGAAACTTAACCTTGAAACCACTAAATTTTACCTCTCACCGTGAAAGTTATAAGGAGATATGTTGAAATTATCATTGTCTAATCTAATTTTTAATTGTAAATACTACTAAAAAGTAACTGTCAAACTTATCAAATTTTATTTATCAAATAAGTACTAAACTCATACAAATTAAGTCATTCAAAAAGCAAATAAAATCGAAAACTTGAAAATATTTTGTATCAAAAATTGAAAATAATATGAATAAACATAATGGGGATAGTAGCCCACATACAAATTTAAGCCTAAAATATAGTACATATCTCAAGACACTTCCAAACATACAAATTTTGTACGCTTTTTTCTAAAAATGTTTGAACAAAAGCAACAGTTTTATCAGTACTAATCGTAGTTCAGCAGCATTCTGCGCAGCGGGTAGTTCTAAACTTGTTGCATTGTTGCATCGTTTTTTAGCGCACATAGCGCCAGTCATGTAGCGATTATCAAAGAACCTTTAACGATATGTATTTTGAAGAATTAATTAAACCGTAAAACAACCAAATGAAGACTTTCAAACACTCAAAGTTCAAATTATTATTAGTTTAATTCGACTTTTTATTAGTTTGCGTTCGTGTTTTTTTCTAACATTTTGAGTAAATTCCTTACAAAAAATTACTGCTAATTAGAGTCAGTAAAAGTTTTGGGGTTTTTACACAAACTTAAATCTCATGAATTTGTAAAATGAAAAGTATGAAGTAGAATGTGAAGTAAGCGCTTACATTAAATTTATTCCAAAAAAAAAAACCTTTTGTCAAGACATACGAGGCATATCTGACAGTCCGGCATTCGACAATCTTCGCAGTGATTACAGCCAACTCGAGCTTTGAAGGTTGGAGCATCTCTCTACAAAACAAAACATACAGTAATATTGAATCCAACTTTGCAATTTTACATATGATTTAAAAAACAACCAACAAAAGTAGTTAACTGTGATATTATGGATTCATTATCATATCGCATTACTTCATTATCTTGGTTTTATCATGTTTAAAATTTTTCAATTTTGCTAGCCTATTGTAACTGAAATTTAAAAAATTAACTTTGTAAGCCAATTATTTCGATAATATCTTTACCAAATGAATAAATAAATTTGCAGAAAAAATTTCCTTTAAAAACTGATTAAATTTTGTATTCAATAATTTACATTAATCTTGAATACCTGCAATCTATTTTCAAGTACTCGTAAGCACCTTCGTTCAATGCAAGATTGTTTCTTAACACCTGGACCACCAAACTGTGGACTATCTTGACAATAAGTACACTGTCCACATGGTTTACACTGGCAACCCCGACACACTCCACATCTTAAAAATTACGACATATATGATAATGACAATAATACTGAATAGCTATGAACAAAAATAAGCAGTTAATAATACATGCTAATATCCAATTAATAATAAATGATAATAAACAACAAGCGTTTATTTTAAGAGTAATTATTAGAAAATCAGAATAAACCTAAATACATAATAACGTATTTAAAATTATCTATTTTCTTTCACACAGAGAAAAAATTTGAATATTACTTGTTAATATAGAAAATTTTTAGAAATACAGAATAGTACGAAAGATATTGAAGAAAATTTTATTTTGTGCACTGCTCCAAAAATATCTTGAAAAATATTTTAGTGATATCAAGAAAGATAGTCATGTTAATTATCCGTTGCACTTTTTACTAAAACTATGTTTCATATGCGAGTTCACCAACTTGTGCATTACATATTCCAAATTCTAAAAAATGTCTTCGCCTACTTTTCTACTAATATGCGAGAAAAATAGACACATTTAAGTTTTAAATTTTTATTTATCAAAGTATTTGGATGAGATGTTTCATAAGCACATAACAAACCTTTGAGACCTATTCATGGAGGCAGAAACGATATGCTGGCCAGAGGGAGCAGCTTGTTGGGTATGCATGATCTGTTGGTTCTGGTGCTGATGAACTTGTGGTGCAGCAGTTTGCTGCTGAATCAAACCATTATTGTGTGACTGAGAGCTATTTTGGAAAGCTGAAACTGGAAGCGGTGGCCCAGGCTGTTGCATGTGGCGGTACAGCATACTGTTTCCTTGTCTACTTTCCATCAGCAACATAGGACCCATTGATAATGATGCACTCATTATGAATCTGCAATAAATATTAAATTCTTATTTAATTTACATTCTTGCCATACAAATCTCTCACGCATATACATGATTTCAGCAACTTTGGTAAGCCCTCTGATCAAACTAAACTCGCGTGTATTAATGTAATTAATAATTTTAAGAGCAATAAAAACTGCTTACTATGAATTGAATTCGCAGCATCGCTGTCAAAATTGACAGAATGCTGTTGAATTTATAAACAGGGAACAGAAATGGAGAGAGGAGGTATTCACGAAGAAAATTTTACTTACTATTATTGCAGGACTTTTTGATAACTGCAAGTACTGAAGAAAAATGAAAGAATAGAACTTAAAGTTAAGTTGGATAACAGACGCTGAAGAAAGCAAGTATAAGTCAAAGTATAAATTGGCATTCAAAGGCAAAAGTTAGCAAAGAGAACTAATTAAAATCAAATCCAAGCTAGAACAAGCGGGTTAGAAATGGAGAATAATTAATAAGCATAAGAACATAAATGGCGAAAACTAAATATACGCTCAGCTCGTATTGTATTTATTTCTGTTCTTATGACTGATATGAAATGACGTGGAATTACGAAGTAGCTGCCAAAAAATGATTGTATGTGAGTAGAAACGGCAAATAAGTAACGCTGGATGGATATTTTAGCCAGATAAAACACTTACAAGTCAAAATATAAGTAAATAAAGTTAAAGTACCTCTTTCATATTAATTCCTATAAATTCACTTTTTGTTAAATTAAAGTCTGATATTAATGTGAGATGTGAAAGATCAATTCAGAAAATTTAAAAGGTCAAAGAATTAACTCTTGTATTTTTTATGCTTGTTGGCATTTAGGAATGAGCAGTCAAAAACTGCAATCGAAATGAATTACACAAGCTATTGGTTTGAAATTATTTTAGAAATGAAAAAAGTTGTTCAAATATAATAAACAAAGATAAAATCAGGAATTAAATAAATTATTCACTATCATAAACATTAGTGAGCGTTGTTCCAAACTTTCAATCTGAAAAACTAAATTAGACTACTAAATTTGCTATGACATGTCAGCATACTTTTAGGACAGTGAATGAACTTAAACCTAAAATGATAGCTTGCAGAAGATAATGCAATCGAAAGAATCAGCACATCGATGATCCTCCATACATGTTATCTTTTTTAATTAGAACTGTAATGACTGACCGAATACAACAGCACTGATTTGCTTGTAATTTCCAAGCCATCAAAGTGTTTGAAACAATAAATGTGTGTAAAACTCATCGCTGACTATTTTCATAATCAGAAAATTGACGTAGTTTTTTTTACTAAAAGAAAATTGGCAGTATGTACGAGAAAAGCCAACATCATATCATTCACATTTCACATCGAATAATTAAAAGTTAAAAGACTGCAAGTAGTCGAAAAAGAAAGAAAAGCATTGGACTGAAAAACATTGAATTGTGATGATTATAAGCACCTGGAGAACTATGACTATCTCCGACGTGTCGAGGAAAATATGGCAAATATTTTCCGATTTCAGTGGAGCAACTGACAAGCTATGAAATATAAAACACTGTTGTCAAATATTTGAATAATATCACGTTTATGTCGCAAATGCACAGTGACATTCCGGCACTCTGACAGTATTTGTCCCGAGCTCAGATTTGTTGTACTTGGTGTTCTCGCTTCGTCCTCGTGGAATCCATATTGACCGTCACAGGAGATGCTTTCGAGTGTCTTCTTGAGAACTACCGATCGGATGTATGCCTCGATGTGGTCTGATATATCAATCTCCTTCGGATCAGGCGTTTATGAAAGTTCGTTACAATCCCATCCCAAATCATCACATACGGAATTGTTCTGGTCCTGCATTTCATCTCTGATCCAACTTTATTAGCAAGTATGTCATATTTTCTCTTTTTATCGGTCTCGACTGCTGTCAACCTGTATTGACTAGTGATGCCAACCTCAATCAGGATTACTTCACGTCGCTTCTTATCGTGCATCATGATATCTGGCCGATCCACTTTTATTCTGATTGCAGTTCTCACTCCCGTATCGACTCTGATCTCTA